ACTGTATAAATTATACATATTTCAGTATTGTAATCATAATGATTGTGCTTGACAATAGTGACCACTCCATGTGTATTTCTGATATTGTCATGTGTGTTTCAGAGAGTCCTTGAGCTAGAGGTGGCTGCAGTGGAGCACCAGCTCATCTTCAATGATGAGCAAAAAAGTTTTCCAGTTCAAGAAAGAATTGGAATATTTCAACTGATGCCATTTTGTAAAACCAGCGAATTCAGAAGGCTATCACTTTGATGTAAAGGATACAACTAGGTTTTGAATTTCATTCAGTATTCTCAATTTTTTATCAGTATATCCAAGCTTCATTCCATATATTCAAGAATTCATTCCATATATTCAAGGTTCATTCCATATATTCAAGGTTCATTCAATATATTCAAAGATTCATTCAATATATTCCAAGGTTCATTCCATATATTCAAGAATTCATTCAATATATTCAAGGTTCATTCCATATATTCAAGGATTCATTCCATATATTCAAAGATTAATTTCCTGAACGGCATGCCATACTATGCATATTTAAACATAAATATTTAACTTAAATTAAACAAAGAATAAGATTAAATGTATTCAAATATGTTGAATGTATTTCTTTTTCTTCAAAATTAGATTGTATTTAAGGTGTACAAGGACAAGCAAACCAAACAAAACAAAAAAAAGTCTAATGGAAATGTATAGAAATATGCTTGACATATTATGACAACGTGTTAAACCATTTTGCATGTAAAGACTTATGCTATGAACTAATGCCTAAATGTTGTGGGGAGTGAGACTATTCAACAGAGACCCATTATAATACATTTTGATCAACATGACATAAGCAATTGATAGTGTAGGGAACAGCAGAGAATTGTACATAATCATTTGCATGGATGTACCAAAGCATTTGCAACTTGTTCAAAGAAATGAGAAACTGCCTTTTTTGATGTGCAAAAGTGACACAATGATGTGAAGATTGAACAGGTAGTTTTGAGAATTTCTATTCTGATCTGAGAAATGTACCAAAGCGACTGAGAAAAATTGTAATCATTATTTTTCCCAGCTTTGCTAGTGGGCAGTGGCCATCGGAAGCACCGGGACATTTCTCGGTGGCCTGGCCGCCGAACTGGCGCTACATGCTTGAAAAATGGAGCGAGATCGAAGCCCAAGAGGAAAGGTGGAGCAGAGAGGGAGAGGCTTAAAAAGCTAAAAGCACTGGCCACAGATGCAGCGAAGTGCTGTAAAATAACTGACATGTTTGTCAGTATTATGTATTATGTATTATGATTTCTGCCAATAGAACCTCCTACATGTTACACTTTGGACGTTTAGTCATTGTTTACACTTGTCTGGTAAACATGATACATTTTAATCATAAAGTAATTGTCCAACTTTAAAGTTACACTTTAGGTAAACAGATGGAGTTGATGTAGATAAAACTCCTCTTGATGACAATTGTTAGAAATTGCATTCATCCATACCATACTTTACTAAACTGCGACAGTGGTCACTACACCAAAATTTCACTGTGTTGGTATCTGGCCATGTGCTAAAACAAAGAAATGGTCATTACTACAGTGAGGCCCTTATGTAAGCAATAAAGCCTGCTAGTAGTGACTAAAGACAAAGTAAAAGGGCCCACCAGATCACAGACCCCTCAGCGCAGGGCCAAGAATGCGGCCAAGGTGTGGCATGAAAGCAATAAACGCCCTTCATTGGTCAGATTCCCTTGGACCCCAGACCCGTCATCCCGGGTATGAAAGCCCGAGAGACTTTCTACCCGGTCTCTTCTCTTCTCCCTTCGCTCTCTCGCTCACCTCGCTCGCCCACACCGGGTGATAAGTTTTGGACCTCGGCGCGGCGCGGCCCGACCCACCGCAGACGCACAACAAAGGATTATAGCACGGCACAAGAACCTGCTTTTTACTGCGACCCCTGGCCAGCGCACTGCTAACGGGAGTCAACATCTGCAGCTTTAAACAGAAAGTCTGCTAGCTGACTTTACCTGAGCAACGCAAAGTTAACGCAGAGTCGTTAACTCTGCAGAGCAATGAGCAAAATGCATTTCCTCTTGCTACCTGCGCCAGTGGACATCGCACAGCAGAGACAGTTTGGACACCAGAACCACAAATCTGGACCGCCAGCTAATCCATGCAGCTCAACCGCAACTCTTCTTCATCTTCCTTTGGACCGTCGGTAACGTACTGGACAGATAACTTAACAGCGTTAACGGCTAAACAAGGACTGTTTAATTACTGTTAATGTTACTGATGTGTTTTATTCAGGTTATTGTGGTATTGTGATGTTGATTTGATTAACTCAGGTTACTGTAGTAATTGTAGTCTTTCAGACAGTGCTAAGGTTGTGTTGGTTTAATGTTATGCTTTACACAGACACCGTCTTTGCATGCAACTAACTCCCTTTTAACGGCACCGTTAATCTACGATCACACACACACACATATTCGGCCTAAACCTCAGCACACACACGAAAAGAGGGAACTCAAACCCTCCCGCTCCTCCATACTCTTTGTCTCTCACCAACAAGTGTTTCATACATTGAAACATCTGGTCAGAGGACAGAGGACACACACCTTTCCTGGCGCACAACCCCCCCCCCCACCTTTTTCCTCTAAGTTAGTTCCTTTAAGTTAGATTGTATATAGTGTATTTTCCTCTGTTTGCTTTTATTATATCTCTTTAATAAATGCTTGTGTTTGTATATGCTGACCTATTTAATTTCGTATAAGAGTGGGTGATACCAACCTCTTCTATGCAGAACTCCAAAGCTCCCACTTTATCTATTAATAATGTTTTTGCTTGTAGTTATTAATTTAATTAATAATCTTTTAGTGTATTTTTATGAGACTGATCCATCAATTATTGGTTTGTTTCCCTTATTTAAGGGTGGTGCCCCGAGGATCTTTAATATTAATTAAAGTCATTTTCTATTATCTTTTTATAATTATAAATTTTGATAACCATTAATTGATTAAATTAATACAGTTAGACCACTGTAACACCCTAAGACGTGGAGCCCGACAACTGGATGAAGCCATAGACGAGTGAGCAGGGTCAGTAATTTGCTTTGTTGGGCTGGGCCAACTTTCCTCTGGTGAGAAATCGGCAAGGCAGTAGAATGACTTCAATCCCAGGGTAGCCATGCCCAAAAGCATACACTGCTTTATTGTCTATTTTACTCTAAATGGGACCATCATTTGCATAAACTCATTAGCAAACTGTTTACTGAGCTAATAAATCAAGTGAGAAGTAGGGTAATTTTTCATAGACTGCATCTTTTATTGCAGCCAATGTAACGGCTCCCTGCAGACTATTACATAGAATGCATTCAAGACATTTCCACGTAGGCTTCACTGCACACCTGCAAGCTCTATCCATTATACATATTGTCAATGGTTGTTTCTTGCTAGCAGGGACAGAGCTGAGTTTTTCAAGCGAGTGGATTTTTGCTCACACAGGCTGAGCCTGTGCTTTGTCCCCTAGGGTGGAACTTTACTGGCCTGATGTTGGTGTAACCGATGTGTTCTTACTGTTTGTTATATTTCACCAAAAATCCATCTTTGTTGATATTTTGTTAATCTTTTTTGTATAAATCTGTTTTTGTGTGTATTTATTTTGGGGAGCTTTATTTTGTTAATTGTATTTTGGCGGTGTGACCGTTGACCTTTTAGTGATGTCACTTTCGGTGTTGTCACCTATTCTCTTCAGTAGCGGTACGCTATGCTGAGGAGAGGTAAGACAATCTGAGCGCTCTGGTTCAGTGTGACTTAAAACATGTTAAAAACGCTAAATAGAAGTTCTTACTCTATTTTATAACTGTCACCAGTTTTGTTCTTTGTTACGGTGATATTTATTTAACTGTGTACATACAGTTTTATTGTGTACAGCACTTTTTGTGTGAGAAGCTAGCTTACTTTTCTCAGGCTAGCTTAATGAAGAGCACACAGGTGGTTTCTTATGCGCTGGCTCTTTTCTCCCTCTCATTTAAAGGTGTGCGTGTGGAAACCAAAAGTTGCTGTACTGATGTGTGTTGTACACAGGTATGTGAGTACTCCCCTTGTTTTTTGTGATGAATGAATTTATTTGTATGCATGTAGTTTTTTATGTCTGTTCATGTTTATATTTTACATTTATTAATGAAATATAAAAATTGCCGTTGGTATGTGGGGAAATGTTTTTGATTTTATAATGAAATCTTGACTATACGATCACATTGAAATGTATTTGTTTTATTATTTTAATAAGAACACTGCACGTGTTATTCTACGGAGCCCCTAAAGGGACATGAAAAAAAAAAAAAAATGAAACGTTTCTAGTGAGCACTAGATACCGCTCTTGTACGGGCATGATGTCTGAGAGAACATCCACTGCATTTCGGTTTGTGTTTCTGTGTGAAAATGACAGTACAGGAGTTAGTTCGACTATATTTTAACCTGGGACTTCATTATAAGGACATTGCTGCTTTACTTGCAAGTCGTCACCGTCATGTTGTGTCTGAAAGACATTTAAAACGAATTTTGAAGTCTTGTAGTCTGTTTCGGCGCAAGGGATACGTCACTTTGGATCACGTAGTTAATTTCATTCATGAACAGTTACAAACATCTGGCCAACTCTGTGGGTATAGGTGGATGTACACAAAATGCAAGGAGAATGGATTACACGTCAAGAAAGAAGAGGTACGCTTAATTCTAAAAGAACTTGACCCGAGGGGTGTTGAACTCAGAGCAAGGAGACGGCTCCATCGCCGAAGCTATTTTGCAAAAGGGCCCAATTATATTTGGCACTTTGACTCTTATGACAAACGGAAGCCATTTGGTATCTGTATCAATGGCTGCATTGACGGGTTTTCCCGGAAAATTATCTGGATGAATGCATTTACTACCAGCAGTGACCCAAAAATCATCGGAGGCTACTACATAGAGGCAGTCCAGAGATTGGGTGGTTGTCCAAGGATTGTCAGAGGCGACCGGGGCACAGAGAATGTTAAAGGAGTCATATTATACCCTATTTCAACAAGTTAATCTAGTTCCCTGGTGTCCTAATGTAATGTCTGTGACATGCTTTGGTCAAAATACCATAAGGATGAAGCACAATAGCAGTTCAATCACCCTGCCAAAACAGCCCTGTTCAGAACGGTAGGATTTGAGTGCCTGTCTCTTTAAATGCAAATGAGACACAGGCAATCCACCCACTTCTTCCGGGAGGTGTGCCGACGTCGGCACGCTTACGCTACCATGACAACAGTTGAACGTGAACCCTGGGAGAAAGATGGCAGCTGGAAGAAACTTTTCGGTCCAACCTTATATGTTTGAACCAGAGTCAGACCCTGAACAAGAAGGAGCTAGCGAAGAAGTTGTTCAATGTAGACTGCAACAAGACGTTTCTGAATGGTGAGTTATGAGCTTTTTTTTACTTTTTTCTTAAAAATGTGTATGTTTGTACGTCGGGTAAATACGGTCGCTGACTAAATACAGTCGACCGCTGGCCGCTGTTTGTGTAATTTACTGCTAATAAAAATCTAGATTTCTGTTAATTGAGTTAACATAAGTAACGTTAGCATGCTATTCCCGTTACACGAGTACATTTCACAAGTCCGCAATATCAGCTACGAGTGGGAATATAGCACTCGTTTTTTTATTCTCAGCTACGCCGTAATAACGTTACATCATTATTCTGTCCGACATCAAACGTTAATGTACTATCCACAGACACACTGTAGCCACTTTTCACGCGTGTGTGCTAATTTTACAACCTAGGTGTGAAACGGGGGATGTAGTGGGGGTTGGGGCGACTGTCTACCAGCGCCGTATACCCCATAGTAATTCCTGTTTACCCGTATTTACTGTGTTTCAACATGATGCAATAATTCCAACTAATAACGTCACATCGTTGCATAAGCTGACCTGTCGTTATTGCTAACAACATATTCAAATAAAAAACTATAACTGATATCTTTTCCCTTTTTTTGCCTCTGGTTTAGGTGTACTTGTGAGAATTGCACAGCAATGCCTACAGAGCCAGAGAATGTCTGCTGCAGGGAGATACCACAGGTAGTACATGGATGCTTGTTGAATGAAAATGTAACTATTCAGTCATATTATCTGTCATCAAACGTCACTTACCCTTTCATATTTACAGGTGATAAGAAGACTAAATCAGCTTCAAAACCCACCTTCCTGCATGGTAGACCACCCTGGCCTCGAACCAGTGTGTTTAAATGCATTCTCACTGCAGAAGGAACTAAATATCTACAGAGTATGGGCGTTTACGTCTGAGGGGAATAGAACAGTAAGGTTTTTTTGCATATAAATTCTGTGTAATTGTAATAAAAATATTCCAAAATCAATTCCATTTTCCCCTTTGTTAGATTGCTTACTTTTCTTGTAAGGCAGTTTGATAATTGTTAAAATGTTACATATCAAACACTAGAAAAGATTAATTTCTGCACAAAATCTAACTTGCAATAACATAATTTATTACATTTAAACCTAGGTCCAACACCAATTTGCTGCTAATAAATGGTTGTATTGGCATTTTGATATTGTGCAGGAATTTATCTTTCATACTTTTGGATACTCATCCCACTCCTAAGAACCTGTCTCTTAATGACCATAATGTTTATGTCCACATATCAAACACTGAAAGTACAAAAAACAGCTTATACATTTTTATTTTCATAAATACAAGTACAGCAAACAACTGTTCAAAAAATACGTATTACAAATATTTACAAAAAAATGTGGCTAATCATAAATTATGTCTAAATATAAATGTAAAACTAAATATATCTGTACTCTGTTCAGCCGTTACAGGTACTTGGCCTATAGGGGCTTTGTGAGCTGGTGTTGGGGCTTTCTGGGCCGAAGAGTTCGTGTGGCACTGCCCAGCTGTGTGGTGCTGCGTATACGGGCGGAGTTCCCCGACGCTCAAGGCATCTACGTGGGGTTCAGACCGGCCCTTGACTGAACCTCGTCACGTAGCGGTCTATCACCTCCTTCTTGTCCGGCCTTTCAAACTGTGCAGTGAGATCCTCAGGAATGGAGATCTTCAACACCTCATCTGTGTATGGACCAGGGTCCAGAAAAACCTTCTCAAACACCAGGTCCAAGATTTCATCCACGTAATCTGCAACAAGAAAAAGTACAATATTGTGTTTATCTATAGTGTTTATTTATTATTTATTCAAAACACAGAAAAAGCCATAGACACTGGTTAATTTATATTTTATTTATTTAACAAATATTTTATAGTTTCATTTTTCAGTGTGATTTTCAATAAAAAAGGTTTAAAACTTACGGAAGGTTGGTTGCTCCTTCACTGGCTTTGCTGTGCATTCTCCTTTCTTCCACTTTGGAAAATGAAGCCTGAACAGCGGCTCACCAGCTGAGGTTGTTGCCTGTGGACGGTCTGCATTTTCATTGAAGTGCAGGGCTGCCAGGTATAGTCTTGGGAGGAAAAATAATAAAAGAAAGATTTACACATATAGCTCCATACCTGGCTTAATTTGGTGTGGCTGTCTGTGCATACGAATAATTGTAATGATAAAAAAAAGCCCCTCTTTACCTGCACAGCATTCCAAGAAAAGGAAAGACTACATTCTTGGGCGCAAAGCGTAGGATGACGCTGTGAAAAGACTCAAGCGATGAGGTTTGGTAATGAGGGCTCAGCTTCCCCACATCTTTGAGGACCCTCTTGTTGCTCAGCACTTTCTCCAACCTGCAGAAGGCTGGTGTTCCTGTGAAGAAGAAGAAAGTGTTTAATAATGTCATTACGTAGAGTGACACTGCCTAAACATGATAATGTGTACCTACCTGTTGTCAACCATTTGCTCTTGTCCCTTGAAGTGCAGGTTGGATGCAAACACTGGGGGAAAACAGGATCTTCGTGGTTGTGGATGTCCCGGACGTGGTTCAGAATGGACATCCACTTTGCTGTTCTCTCTGGCACCGATGTAGATGAAGCAGCCGTCCAGTAGATGTGGTTTTTTATACTCTGAAGCCACTTCTTCAGTTTCTCACACTCCTTGTTCTGTGAGATCTTCGACAGTTTCTTGGACAGTCCTAATAATACAAAAAGCTTTAAAGTCTTTCACATATATTAATTACATCAATTAACATAGCAGAAATGATATAGCTTACAGTCTAAATTGAAATAATAATAGGCTACACATCAATAACTGTCAGTGTAACAATAAAGGAACTACACTTATCATAAATAAACTTTTTTCCTCTCTCAATATTGACAAATAAGACACGGAATAATACCTTTTTCCATGTGCCATACATCGTAGTAATGCGTGACATCGGCCTCCCTCAGGAACTTCTGGATTTGGGGGTGACGGTCCGTCACAATACTATCTATAGTAACACCCCGTTCCTCCAACAGAGCAAGGCTCCTCTTCAGGCCCTCTTTCTCCATGTGGTAGCTTCCACCAACCTCATTACTCTATTATTTAAGAAAGCAGATAAAAATTTATTATTTCAGCTGATAAGAGCTACACTGTAACAGATTACAACAGAGATTATTTATGGTCTGTCACTCACTTGAACCAGCTGTAAATCAATAACAGTGTTGCTCCTCATGTCCATCATTGTGTAGCTGCCAAACTTGGCACAATGTCCTTCAAAAGTAAAGTAATTATTTTTTATATATACATTACATAGTATTTATCAGTGTGTTTTATTTATATATATATAAAAAAGATTATTATGACAGAGTATTACATACCTGGTGAGTCTGCTCTCAAGTCACCACCGAGGACGACATTCTGCAGCTGACTGAGCTGCTCTAACATTGCAGTCTGTGCCGTCTTCCACCTGTGTACAATCGCGGGCTCTATGTACATCCGAGCATGCCTTCGAAATGAGTCATATTGAAACATCTTCAACTGCATTGCCCGGAAGATCTGTGGGAGAAAGAAACAGACAGGAAAGGCACCCACACGTTAATCACTTTTTCAGAAATACACATTGTGTATATAAATTTAGCTACATCATATGCTATATTCCATTACTTTATTCATAGTTTAGTGTAAATACAATACCTTTTCAAGCTTAAAGAAAGAGGCACCAGTGGCGTACACTGCAGTGGAGAGCTGCAGGTTCCCAGCAGGAGTGCTCCCAACAAGAGGCTGGCTGTTCCACTTTCTGTAGAACTCACAATGCGGGCACCGCTGTTCTACAGAGAGAAACGTGCCCAATCTTCTTTTCTGCATGTCACATTCCCGCTGACACACAGGGCACACCTGAAACAGCTCCATTAGGCAGTTCTCATACACAATATAAGTTGGAGTCTTATGGACAGGCGTAGAAGATTCCATTCTGCAATAAAAACAAAACATTGACAGAAAATGAGTCAAAGATCGTCCTAGTAGAGCTACAATAAGTAGAGGAATGTAACACAAATGATTAGTTAAATGTTTAGGTAACTCACGTCACATCTGCTGACTCAGTCAAGGTTGTGGCAGAGTCTGCAGGGTCATAAGTTGAATCGTGTGGCTCTTCTACGTCAACAGAACTGCCTTCTAAAGGGTTCTCCTCTTCCTCCTCCTCCAGTTCCAAGCGACGTCTCTTACTTGGTCTCTTTATAGGTGTTGATGTAAGAAACGGCAGAAGAGCTGAGGTGCCAACACCAACATCAGTGCAGGAAACAGTTTTCTGTGTGCCTTAAAAACAGACAGATGATGTTATTGTTTATGCAGAATTATGAAATGTTAAGCAAACATATTGTTACTCATTAACAGAACACAAACAGAAGAAATCACATCAACGAATGAAGTAACTTTTGGTCAACTAACCTGTACTTCTGAAATGAGGTTGGAGAGTCTTCATTGAAAGCTGTGTTCCAAATGAGCGTGTTGTTGGTGGGTCTGTCTGGCATGCCACATGATGTACCCTATCCAGCAGTCCAGATGTGCTTGCCTAAACACAAAGAGCAGTGATATTTATACTCAAAAAATACAGTAAAAGCAAATAACTGTCTCTTGGTTGATCTATTTGTTTCTTGTGATTTTATCCGCAGATTAACAATGACTGTCAGATGCTAGCTAACTAGCTTTTCACATTGAACAATAAGGTCCTGTTATTGTGCCCAGCTAGTTCAGTTTAAAACAGACACTGTACTGTAGCTCTCCAAAGTGTGTTGTGCGACAGTAATCATCAACCATGATGAACACAGTGCGCCATATATGACGTTAGTTCTAGCCTCGATGCAAGTTCTTAGTAGTCAGTAATACCTGGAACTGTCTCAGTCTTACTGGAGATATCACATTATAGTACCCGCCATTCTGAATTAGCTCGGACCTTGTTTATATTCTGGTTTTTGTGTCGGGGCGGGCGACAATACACATCCTTAGAACCGAACTACATCGTAACGTAACATAGTTACTTAACGTTACTTAACTATTCCCTGTCTAACATGTCTAGTGCAGCTTAACAAAGGAAACAGCTGGTAAGGCATGCCGATGAAATTACTTTTTGCATTGCTGCAGTTTGTTCGGTCGGAGGTTAACGTTACCTCTCTGCTTATTCTAGCAGCGACACACACAAACATAGTAACAGTTACTTACTGAAAAGCATGCACATTTACCAAAATACAGACAAAATAAAGCTAGTTGTGGCTTAAACCACGAAGCTCACAACAGTAACTTCAAGTCCCCCCTGCACAAAGCTAACGGCGGCCGTGGCCGTGGCCGCGGCGGCCGCGGTGGGGGGGGGGGGATTTTACCGGTAATTAACGGCATATACTTTGTGTAAATCTCTATAAAAAATTTGCAGCAGGGAAAAATATGGAGACATCTGCACCAGCTGGCTTAAATTAACGTCACCATATAAGTTTCATGTTGCACACATCTAACAAACAATAACTACGTTAGCTTCACTGCAGCTCCAGCAGCTCAGAGCTGTTAGCATTAGCTAACATTACACCAACAATGAAAAACAAAGCATAAATTCTTAAAAATACTTACAGTTTCTGTGTCTGTCGTCTTGCAACGGATAGTTGGTACTGCTCCCTCTATCAGCAACAGTTTTTGGGCCAGTCCCGTACTGTACTGACCGAGGTTCTTAAAACAGTCACTGGTGAAGTGGTTAGCACACACCAACAGCTTTTTGCCAACTCTAGCCGGAACATTTCCATTGTAAATAAAATTAATCCACTGGACTCGTATCTCTTCTGAGACGGGGATAGTGTGTACAGCTTTGTGCTGTTCTGTGCAGCCCAGCACAGAACATTTGTGTTGCCTTCCCTGATGCATGTCTGCTCGCTCTCTCGCTCGTAGGGACAATGGCGGAGCACGGACAGACAAGGCGGAGTAAGCTGAGGTGGGTGGCAACAGGCAGGTGAAAGGTTGGAATATGCTAATGAGTGCAGCAGGTTTCGTCACAAACTGCATACCTCTGAGAGTTCGTGTCTTCTCTCCTGTATTCTGACTGAGGCAGCCCACAAAAACATGACTGAGTCATTTTTTTTCAAACTTTGCCTGCTGATAGGCCCTCCAGTTTCCCAAATGTACATAATAAAATGATTAAAAAGTTGGTTTTGCATAATATGTCCCCTTTAAAGTCAGAGACTTTCAGCGTTTTCTCCGTCGCAACATTCACGACGGCTCCGGCATTGACAGTAGCTGTTGAAGGGGCAAGCACAGCAAATCAGCGAATAGAGAGTTGGTGGGGCTTCCTCAGAAGGGAATCAATGGAATTCTACATCTCTCTGTTTAATGATCTGAAGGACCGTGGCTTGTTCGATGGTGCATATTTGGACAGAAGTCTAATCCAGTTCTGCTTCATGGGAATCATTCAGGTACAAATGTATCGTATTGTTTTGTAAAACCTAATTTCATCTTAAATTGTGTCCCACAAATGTTTTTTTGTTGTTGTTACATTCTCCAATGAGCAGCTGTCCACCTGTCTTAATCACTGTCATCCATGTGGTGTCCTACAATAATAATTCATAATGAAACGCGAAAATGGCTCTAACAGGGTTTTTTGAGCATGGAGGCGCCACGCACTGGTCTGCCATATCGTCACATTGTGTGCGCCCTCTCAGTGTCAATCATACTACTGATAGATGAGAGAAGGGGCTGATTAATTAGAATATAACATAACTTGTTGTGGGTGGAAACCACCAAAATGGTAGAAAAAGTTGCCTAAAACAAATTTTGTTGCCCAAACTTTATACTTTATTTAATGAGAATAAACACAGTAAAAGCAACTCAGGAAAACGGGCAGCGAGCCAAGCAAACAGCCAACCATTCAATCAATCTGTTAATCATTTAATTGTTTACAGTTAACTGATTGTTAAGGAAATAATCTAATAAAGATAATAATAATACAGAAAACAGGCCTGACACCGCCACATTATACTATATATTCAATAATCCATCTATTCTGGGGGGTGGGAATGACTGTGTGTGTGATTTGATGTGTGCACAGATTCGGGAGGTGCTGGTCGATAATGGTTTAGCACTGTAAAAGCTGCCTGAATATGTGTTCAGACATCCAGAGTGGCAGCAGAGGAGCACATATCCCATAAAATACACATAATCAGGCCTAATATGATATCAGCTTGACTAGTGTGTGTGTGTGTGTGTGTGTGTGAGAGAGAGAGAGCTATATGTCGACTATAAGCCTCCTTGTGTGTGTTTATGTGGTCTGTGTTGCAATGTTGCTGTCCACGGTGCTGAATCGTCCTGAGCGCAGACACGCCACAGCTTCTTCATTATGATTTATTTTAGCTTACTCTGAACTGCCATTTTAATCGAAGATAAACTTCCAAAGAATACTCAAAATATTTCTCTTTATTCAATTAATCCAAAAAGCCTTCTTATTCTTTCTGATAGCTTTTCATTCCCTTCAGGCGTCTTCACCGCTCTCAATTTAATATTGATATATGCGATCATGCAAAACACAAAATAAGTACCATGGATAGCGCCACTCAGCCAGCCGTGCCAAAACACTTATAACTTTAGTATTTAATAAAATAATAAATAATAATGGAAAATAATATATAGTGAGCGAACTCTATCAGACGGAGCACGAAATAACAGCAACGGCTGCGAATCCATCTCTCTGCTCTTCGAAATTTTTGTTCTATCTATCTTTGAAATTTTTGTTTATTTTCCTATCATTTCTCCTTATTTCATCAGAAAAGTCAGCATTTAGCATGATTTATTTCAAAACTTATATAAGGCCCACATGAGAATTACAAATTGCATATCAATTAACTTACGTTTTCTTACTTTCTAATATACCGTTATTCCAGGACGAATTAGATGAGACCATCCATGTGTGGGATTCACATGTCATCAGACCATCGAAGAATGACAGGGTACCCAGTGGTCGACCTCGAACAACATCTGCAACATTCTGATGGTGGAGTCACAGCTGCATCTTCCAGCTGATGCTTATCAAGCATTTGATTTGTACCTGCATTTGAGGAATGAGATAAGATCCGCTCTTTAATTTGAGATGGAACTACATTTGTATCCATCTAAACTGAACACATGATCAGACAATTCTTCTGCAGTCCACCATGCTTTATTCACCAAACATTCTCAGTTGTAAAGTTTTCCCAGGAACTCTGTAGAAGCTATATTTGGAATTTTGGATTATTTCTCCTTGGAAAAAGGATTGATCTGTCACTATGTGCACACTGACTGTTACAGACATTAAGAACATTTGCAGCGATATTGTGCACACAGTTTTTCAAGGTACTTGGCAGTTTTGCCTGTCATGGATAACTTTTAGCAGTTCTTGTGTGGATTTAGGCTGTCTCAGTTGTTTCTGTCTCTTGAAGCCTGTGTTTCATTGAATCAGTCTGGGATTACCTCGGATTTTTCAAATGACAGAGTATTAGCTCTTCTCAGTAATTTGTGCTGGAATTTGAGATTTAAATTTGTTGTACACCATATAGCAGTATTGTCATAGATGTTTTACTTTGCCTTTACATCAGTCATGAACAGGAAACGAACAAAATCACAACAAAGAAAAACAACATGGCAGGACATGAAAGAGGAATTACATTTTTATTCAACAATATTGTGCTCTTGACAGTGACTGTCTGTATGTTTACCATATGAGGCTCCAACAAAAACAGCCATGGGTAGCCATTTGAAATGGTACTGTATGTACATCAAAAAGGTATTATTTTGTTGAATGCTGAACTTCTTTCTTAATAACAATTGCAGAAAACATGCTCATGATAATATGAAAATGAAAAGGGATGTTCACCTATGAGAGCAGACCTTTCTGACTTATAAAAATGATTAAACTTAAACTGTCTTCCGGACTTAAACAAAAACTCAGTGTGCTGACAAATATTACAACAAAATCATTAACAATAAGAAAAAAACCAAACCAAAGCAAAACAATTTAAAAACTGTTTCAGTTTTAATAAAGGTTCAATAAAGCAATGTCATCAGATTATGCATCTGATTTTATTTCCTCTCGTTGTAGAACATTTTTTCTTAGTTGTAATACATGAATGAACAAATACAGTTTTTTAAATGTAAATCTGTAGATTTGTTTCAGACAAATGCTATAACAATGTCAGTAGAAGAGGAACATTCACTACACAATATCCATTGTAAAGCAATCGCCAGACAGGACATTGTCAAACTCTTGACGAAACTCAGGGTATGAGCTGTAGGTGCATGGTAACTCAAGAACTGCTCCACATGTGTGTGCTACAGGCCTGCGACTTAAACCACACAATCTATTAAAAGTTACTTCGATTGTGTCTGTGCACAGCACAGTGGACCCTGTGCAGAAGCGTAAGAAGATCTCCAGTTTTCTTTGGTCGATGCTTCTCACATACCGTAGCAGGTGGTTAAGAGCTGTCTGCTCTTGTGGATTTAGGCTTTCAGTTGATGGCTTTATCATCTGGGCCACTTTCTTGTTAGTTGGCCGCTTAGATTCGTAAAGCTCCATTATGCTTTCTTTGGTTATGAGTGTTGGCACAGCATTGTGAATACTGGAGTGGAAACAGTCAATTATGAACTTTGGCTCTTGAAGAAGAGCTTTGTGTGCCATTGTTAAAATGGCAGCCCGTACGTTGTCTTTAGAGGGCAGGCAGTGTGAGCCCATTCTTGAGAAGACGTCGAGTAAGTCCTCTTCAACAGTTTCATCAATGTTGCCCTGTAGTGCTTTTTCAAGTGATGCACGCTCATTCTCTGAAAGAAATCTGGAAAATGACATCATCAAGAGTTCTTCATCCACTGAACCAAGTCCTTGACAACAGGCAAGAACAAAAGCTGGTGACAGTCTGATTGGTATGATTTTTTGGTCCAGGTATCCTTTCAGCCACATTCTTCCAAGAGCTTGCCATGCCTTCTCAGAATAGTCTGGTCGTAGTCTGGGTACTCGTTCATCTTCCCCCTCACACTGTTCCAAGAAATGTTCCCAGAACGCAGAGTATACCTCTCTTGACACACCATCACTGTCCACAGCTTTCTCATTTGTAAACTCCATTTTTAGATTAGCATTCAGTATTTTTGGTTCCATGAAGATATTAAGGACATCATCAACTATGTTTACTCGTCTTAATTTCACAAGGAGTTCTTTTTCAAATGGGTCTGGTGATGCTGGAAGACTGCTTGATGATACAGGTCCATCATTCAGTGTAGAGTGCTGCAAGATTTTTTAAAAAAGTAATTAGGTGTGATTATTGATCGATTAATCATTTGGTGAACAGAAAATGAATCAACGACTTTGACAATCAATATATCAATTAGCATGCAGAAATGAATTATGCTGTGGCTCTAGATTTGCTGCTTTTCTGTTTTATATCACAATACATGGAATATCTTTTGGTTTTGGAATGTTTGGATGAAAAAGTAATCTAAAAACATCAGCTTGGTGTGAGAGAACTTGGGATGAAAATTTGTCACTGTTTTGTACATTTCATAGACAGAATAATGAATAGGGAAAACTCTTTAAAAGAATCAATAATGGCAGTAATATTCTTTTTGCAGCACTGCTAGAAATGACTCAGTTCTACACTATACCTGCATACTGGTGGAGTCTTGATTATCACCATCATCACCACAAACAGGTCCAAAGTTTACTTCAAAGTCCTCAAGAGATGCTTGGATGGCAAGGGCAAGAGGGGAATCCAACTCGTCACTTAACAACTGGTCTGGATCTTGATTTGACACAGGCATTAAACACTCGTCTTCAGATCCATGCCTGCTTGTTGATTGCCGAGTTTGATTGCCAACATCATCGGAAGATGGTGGATGCAGGACCTCTGTGTTGCTCATCTCAGGAGTTGCTGGTCCTGATTGACTGATTGGTTCTCCTCTCTGTTGATAATTTAATGAAAAAAACAAAACAAACATATAATTATTACCTTATCTTTGTTTTTGCATCCTCTGATCAAAGCTGTCATGTGTACTATCACATTCATGTGATTAAAACATCTTGCACCTGAGCAGATTGTTTTGGTATGCATATTGAGTTAATGTGGCATTGAACTCAAAACCTTTTGCCCACTTCCATCATCTTAGCTGCAGTTAAAATTTGAGATGGATTTACATTTGTTGTTTGCAACAAAATCATGGTCTTAGGTCATAGACTTCACAAGTTCGCAAGTTTTGGATTTTATCTTTGACTTTATTTTTTGGTTTCAATTTTGTATTTGATATTTTGATTGATACATTTTTGTTTCCATTTTAAAAAGTATTGTTTGAACACTTTGGCACAAATTAATCTCCATACAACACAAGTTCCATACTGTATATCACAAACTGGGTCCATAAAAAAATATGCAATACTTTTACTTACTTTTTCATGGTTTTCCTGCATTGAGCCACTGGGTGCTGGATCTAAATCAGTGGAGCTCTCTGGATGATCAGTTCCAGTCCTCCAGTGATGACATCTCCTGGTTTTGTTCCTCAAGGATTGTCTCTGCATTGTCCTAGTCTATAAAGAAATCAGCAGATCAGCAAATTATAGGCTTATACAGCCATGATTGTCCAACTGTTCAATACAAGTCTTTCTGAACTTATTGTGATTGAATATGCACATAAGTGGAGAGAGAAGTAGAGCAAATATGTTTAGAAAACTGTTTTTACATCTCTTGACCTCTTGCAACTCAACTATCACCCCTGATTCAGCAGATAAACATTTTTTTGTTTGCAGGCTTCATGATCCTAATAGATTTGACATTGAGTTAAGACAATAGATTTATCCTCAAAAATCACTGATTCTAGTTGTTGAATTTCATGAGAAGAAAGACAGATAAACTACATGGCTGTAAGACTAAGATTATTTTGGCCAGATCCACAAAAAATTAATTGTGCCTGCTAATTGCACCAGAATTGTGCAGCATTTGCACCCCCAATCTGCCCCGTTTAATGCCGTTTAATTGAATATGCCATATTTAAGAACACAGATTGGTCTATAATGAACATTGCAAAGAGCACAAATGCCCTACATTGCATGTATTTAATTAGCAGAAGTGTGCACAAACAAAGCTCTCCACAATCACAAACCAACTTTCATGTATTTGTACTATTATAGTATTCTACATCTATAACATAATATACTGAGAGTGTCACTGAATGTATGGATTTCACAAAAACATCAGTACTGATATTCTATTTGTTGCCCACAGCTGGCTGCAGCATCACAAGGCAGCTGAAACTATACGTGCGTCTCCAAACTAAGAAAGAGGCTGATGTGTGCGTTTACGCACGGTGCTGAGGTAGCTTCATTAACATGATTGGCCAGGATTTGATGATAGTTAATGTTCTGTGTTCTACTATACATCTCTACCGGTCAGCTGTTACACACTGTTTCCAGGTTTATACAGACTTTATGGATAAATTCTGAGCCTCATCCCATCTGTTATTTTTATTTTAAAATCTGAAATATATGATTGTCCCCGATCAATATTCAGTACCTAGAGTATGTATTGATAACAGAAATGTGGCAGAAGATAAATTACCTTCATTGGCCTCTCATCTGTGGGCTCGAAGTCCGATGATGCATCAGAGAGAAGTATTACGTCTTTAGCCTTGGAGGTTGTGTAGATGCGCAGCATCCGTATCTTAGTCTGCTCGTACAGCTGGCTCACTGTGACTTCAGGGGATACTGCATTGTGACTAAAATCACGAATATCAAACTTGAAGTCTTCCACTGGTCCTTTAGATGAATATCCATTTGGAAAAAACAAGCCCTTGCCCGTCTCCAGCAGTTCACCCATAGTTATTGATTTCTCCACTGACAGGTGCCGTGTTCCACCTCCATTTCTTGTTTTGATCTGGTGATAAGTGCCGTTATCAAAGTGGAGCCATCCCATTTCAATCCGCCGGGTAGCTTTGGCTGCATGTTTATTGCCAACAATGTTGCCAACTGTTTGTCTGTCGGCAGGAGTTTTCCGTTGTTCCCCGAGCCTGTCTCTTACTCTCTGCATGAGAGCGGACTTCACTGTCTCCACTCCTCCTGACTTTTCATTTGTTACAGTTCTTTGACGACAAAATGCTCTGAGTGCAAGTCGGTCAACATATCTTACGATATACTGTCCTAACTCCTCATCTGTCATAACACCTATGACGTTGATGTCGATCTGTAATAAGCAAGGCAAACGTCAAAAACGTTTGAAAAATTACATTAACATAGCAGGTAGAGAAAGCTAGCAACATTAGGCTACACATGTATTGCTTACTTTATGTCACAAAAGTTAACATTTATCTTTACCTTATCATCTTTTAGTTGGTTGATGACACTATCAGGTAGATTTCGCGTTTTCAGGAAAGAGAATAAGTCCACTTCTGCAGCCATTCTGTGAGGTTAAGATCTTAATGAGCCTAGAGGCATATGCACAGGAAGCACAACTGCCTGTGCTTAATCTAAGGTTTCTCGCGAGATCCGTGGTTTCTCGCGAGATCCGTATCTAGTGCTCACAAGATAGTATCTAGTGCGCACTAGATACTATCTAGTGAGCACAAGATACTATCTTTTCCTTTTTTTTTTTTCTTTCCCATGTCCCTTTAGGGGCTCCGTATTATTCAGTAGTGGGACGCTATGCTGAGGAGCGGTGTGCGTGTGGGAACCAAAAGTTGCTGTACTGATTATGTGTGTTGTACACAGGTATAATAAACCTCCTGTCCAACTGGCAAAGCAGAAGTTGTCTGTCGTCCATTACTACGCAGAGTCAAATTAAGGAGTGTCAGGCCAGACCAGCTACAGTGGTGCCGTGACCCGGATCCACACTGCTTCAGGCTGATTCGCCGCTGTGTCTGGAGTCATGGCTCAACATCAGTTTGGTCACCAGAGGTTGCTACTTGATGCTCATTCATGTTAAAAGTTCTTTATAGCATTGAAGAAAAGTTTAAAAAAAGTTTGTAAACTGTTCATTTTGCTTTTGCTGTTTTAAGAGTAAATTTGTCGTTTCAGTATATTGTATTGTGTATAGATTAGTGTACAGATAAAATGACAAACGTTACTGGGAAAATGGCTGAGGACAGTGTAACAGGTGACAGTTTTAGCTTTGCTGTTGGGAGGGGGAGAACTATCAGTGGGTTGCCTTGTGCGAGGTGCAAGTAATGTAGGCACACCAGCTTTTTGTTCCACTCGCATACTTGGTCATGCAGCCAGCCATAGTCAGGGTGATACACCTTCATGTTTCCCAGCCACTAATGATCCAGCTTTAAATAGCCTGATAAAACATATCACTCAGCAGGTAGGACAGACCATGAGAGATCAGTTAAAAGGTGAATATGAAGGGAACGATGTTAGTGGTACACAAGCTCAGAGCAGTGCAGACCAGCCATCCAGTGACTCCACTTACCTCAACTTGACCGGTGCAAAGCTAGTCCTACAGTCAGATGTGAGAGAGCCTCCAGCCTTCAGGGGAGATGGATCTGACAAGAACAGAGTCTGTGAATGGGAAGATTTAATGGAAGTGTATTTCCGGAAACGTGGCATACCCCTGAGAGAACAGCATTCTGAGATAATGTCTAAGTTAATGGGCAAGGCTAAAGACATTGTGAGGATAACTTTGAGTAGCAGCCCATCCATGAAGCCTCAAGAAAATCCAAAAGTCATCTATGACATCCTCCGACAACATTTCAGTGAAGTGACATATTCTTGTATGCCTATGGCTGATTTCTACAGCACAGTTCCAGTGACAGGAGAGTCCCCTGTAGAGTACTGGCTTTGGCTGAACAAGGCAGTTGATGCAGCAGAAGAGGGCTTGAAAAGATTGGGACGGCGCATGGAAGATCCTTGTCAGGAAGTAGACATGATGTTTGATACTGCCCAGAGCCCACACTTGCTGCTCTTTTTAAGTTTAAAGCACCAGATAAATGGGCAGCCAGTGAGGTTCAAGAGCATATTGATCGCTACCAAATTGAAATGAAAGAAGTGCTTTCCAAATCAAAGTGCCCCAGACCAATAGCAGTACACACCCAGGCTCCTACACTTGACGAGTCACCTGTGCAGAAGGACATTATTGTGACCAGACCTACTTGCAATGATGATTGTCTGAAAGTGTTAGTAAGTCTTTTTGATCGCGCACTATCACAGAACAGCCATTCTGCACAAAAACCTGCCTTCTCTGATCAGATATAGGATATGTCTTGCAGGGTCTGCCAGTCATCGGAGCACTCCACTCTCACACACTGCAGGCAGAAACGTCTATGTCTGGCATGTTTCGAGCCAAATCACATCAAGAGGAACTGTCCTAGGCGGCAGCCTGGCCAAGGTCGGATCAGTACCTCCCCTCCCCAAAGCCCCCAGACTTTAAACTAGCTGGCCCGCATTTAGAGAGGGGATGTGTGGGCACAAAGTAAGAGACCCTCAACAGCGTTGAGCAGCATTACATAAGAGCATGTGCAGCAGCTCCCACTGGTGCTAAAGTAATAGTGCAAAACATGCAGAGAGTGGAAGCCTATGATGAACTCTTTTACACCCCTGTCAGCATAAACAATATTTTCCAGGCCCAGGGCTGCTTGTCTCTGGTTCCATGGCCTGCACACTAAGTGAGCAAGCAGAGCAAAAGATGTTGAATGAACTCCCAGAACCCATTCCATTGACCAACTGGTGTTGGTAGGCTGTGGTGGGTCACTGAGCAGACCCAAGTGCATGTATGAAGTGGAGATGGAACTGTATGGAGAGCGCTGCATCGTGCCTGTCCTTGTGGTGCCTGGCCAACGCGATGACCTGATCATCGGCACAAATGTCATCAGATTTTTGATGCACCAGCTGAAAATAACCAGTGACTATTGGCGCCTTGTGTCCAGTGGCAATCTTCTTCCTGAGTGTGAACAGTTTCTCGACCTCATGGCAAACTCATCTCGGTGGAGAGGCAAGGAGCTTCCAGACAGAATCGGGACTGCACCGACTTCAGGTGGCTGAATGCAAGGACCCTCAAGGATGAGCACCCATTACCACACCAGTCAGACTGTCTAGCAGCCCTGGGTGGAAACACCTACTTCAGCACCATGGACTTGACCTCTGGCTTCTATAACATACCGATGGCAGAGGATGACATATACAGCGTTCACGACTCCAATGGGACTGTATGAGTACAACAGGATGCCACAGGGTCTGTGTAATAGTCCTGCTTCATTCATGAGAATGATGCTCAGCATATTTGGTGATCTGAACTTCAGCAGTCTGTTGTGCTACCTTGATGATTTGCTAGTCTTCGCTGCAACTGAAGAAGAGGCTTTGGAGAGACTTGAGGTTGTTTTCCAGTGGCTCAGGCTTCACAACCTTAAACTGAGCCCCGAAAAATGCCACTTGTTGAGATCTTCGGTCAAGTTTCTTGGTCACATTATAGATGGCAATGGAGTGGCTGTGGACCGGCAAAAATTGAGGTTATATCTAAAATGTCAAAAGCAGACCTGATGGAGGATGATGGCTGCACACCATCAGTTAAGAGGATAAAATCCTTTCTGGGAATGGTGTTCTACTACCAACACTTCATCCCTAACTGTTCTACAATAGCCAAGTCATTGTTTGCTCTCACTGCTGGACAAAAGAAACGTGGGAAAGTCAGAACAAGTTCCAACACTGGCTCATTCAGGAAGCTCAGACCCTCTGATTGGACAAATGAATGTGACGTGGCTCTCAGTAACCTTAAAGAAAGTCTTTTGAACTGTGTTGTTTTCTCACATCCAGATTTTTCTCAGCCTCTCCTTCTGTCCATTGATGCGTCTCTAGACGTGTTAGGAGCTGTGTTATCACAAATACCAGCTGGTGAAACCAAAGCACGCCCCATCGCATTTGCCAGTCAGACCCTGAGCAGTTCTCAGAAGAAATATCCAGCTCATAGGCTCGACTTTCTGGCCCTGAAATGGAGTGTGTGTGGGAAATTCAGCCATTGATTAAGAGGTCACTCTTTCACAGTATGGACTAATAACAACCCTCTTACCTATATCATGACGAAACCTAAGCTTGATGCTTGTGAGCAGCGTTGGGTGTCCAAACTCGCCCCTTACACATTTGACCTGAAACACATACCTGGCACCAAGAATGTGGTCGCAGATGCACTCAGCAGGGACCCCTTTGCGAAAACAGTCAGTCACAGGGTCATCACAGAGCAGTACACCAACTTTCTTGCTGAGGCTGAGGGTGTGAGTCATGATGGCATTCAAGACACCTTCAGATTAAAGGTTCAGTGTCAACAAGTGAAGAAATCAACCCATAAGGGAATGAAGCTGCAGTCTGACTCCTCCAAGTATCACTGTGATTTTGGGGCTGTTAAGGCTCTCATGGGTGTTCACGACCATTGGGAAGTTGCTGCTGAGACAAGGCCTTAGAGACAAGGAGTTAGTTCAGTCTGTTCAGGATCTGCTGCCACCAGGGCAAGACTCCCTCCCTGTGTTCACATTAGAGGAACTCCAGCGCAGCCAGGAATTAGCCCCCACCATCTCGACTGTCATGCCAGTTGTCATACGCGGAAGGCGTCCCTCCAGGCGTGAAAGAGCTAAATTTGATGCAAAAGTGATGGTGCTCATCAAACAGTGGGAGAGACTAACAGTTTAAAATGGTGTCCTCTACCGGGTAACTAAGGACCATCTCAGTAAACAAAAGAGACACCAGTATGTTCTACCTGACAGCCTCAAAGAGAAAGCATTGCATGGCATTCATGATGCTGCTGGATATCAGGGGCAGGCAAGGACCATGCATCTAGAACGGCAGCGGTTCTTTTGGCCTAAGATGGAGTCTGACGTGAAGGAGTATGTCAAGTGTTGTCAAAGGGGCATCCTGGCTAAAACACCAGACCCCTCTGCTCGAGCCCCATTTGAGAGTATCAGAACGTCCTCTCCTATGGAGCTAGTGGGTCTGGATTTCTGGAGTGCAGAGGACAGTAAGCAGCACTCAGTGGATGTTCTTGTTGTGACAGACCATTGTACCAAGTTGGCTCATGCTTTCCCATGCACCAATCAAACTGCAAAACAAGTGGCCAAGAAGTTGTGGGACCATGTTTTCTATGTGCATGGGTTTCCTGAACGTGTCCACTCTGATCAGGGAGCCAACTTTGAAAGTAAATTCATAGCAGAACTACTCAGTCTTTCTGGTGTCTCGAAATCACACACTACCACATATCATCCCATGGGAAATGGAGGAACTGAGAGGTTCAATCAAACACTTGGAAGTATGCTGCGATCTCTTCCCCTTAAAGAGAAACACAAGTGGCCTCAACAGATACAGACATTGACGTTTGCTTATAATGCGACAGTACATGAAACCACAGGATACGCACCGTTCCAGCCTATGTTCGGTCGCATTCCAAGACTCCCTGTGGACGCGATGTTCAAGCAAGTGTTGCACGATCCAGTGGTTGTTGATAACAAAAGCTACGTGAAAACACTAATGTCCCATCTTCATGAAGCAGCCAGAATTGCTCAAACACATGCTGTCAGAGAACAGGATAAACAAGCAAAAGGCTACAACAGGAAGGTGAAAGGCACTCATCTGAACATAGGAGACAGAGTACTTGTGGTAAACAAAGGGTAGAGAGGAAAGAAAAAGCTGGCTGACAAATGGAACGCAACAGTGTATACTGTCAAAGACCGAAACCTGCGGACACACACATACAAGCTGGAGGATGGTACAGGCATCTTGGACATCGGCTTCCTACCTGTGGGGACACTTGAAGAGGAATTGTGTGATGCTGGATCAGAGGAAAAACAGAGTCAGGAGACTCTGAGTGAAGGGCTGTTGGACCAGTCAAGTCAGGAGGCTCCAGAGTTGGACTATGAAGGGCAGTCTGTAGATCATATTCAGGACTCTCAATGTGACCAAAGCCATGCAGACAGAGACTTTGATCTGGACAGTTTAGTTGCAGAACCTGCCTCAGACTTACCTTCCGCTCAGTTACACTCAGCAGACACAGAGGGGGATGTAGAGACATTATCCCAAATGGCAGACTCAGTTCATGACACAGTTACTCAGGAGCACCAGTCAGCTGACACAGAGCAGGTAGTCAGGACGCGAGCAGGCAGGGTCAGGAAAAGGGTCGATCGACTCATTGAGTCTATGGGTCAAAAGCCCTTTGGCTTCAGGGACTTAGCAGTTTCCGTTCGCAGAAAGTCTCAGTCACTTCTAACATTGTTTTAGAGGGACAGATATGTTTGGTTACTTTACATGTATACTTGTGGATATGCATTTGAAGGACGTTGTGATTAATGTAATGTATATGAAGTGTGTAATGTATATTGAAGTGACCAGATGTTTGTGTGGTGTAAAAGGCGTCATATTAATCTAGGAAGGGGCTATGGCTTGATCACCCTTGGCTTCCTCTGAGCATTTAGTAGGCAGCTTAAACAGCTGATGTCAGAGTTTAGAACTCTTCAGTGAACCCTGGTCAGGTTTTCACATTCAGTGTTCATCGTCCTAATGTTGTCATTTGCTTATCCTGAGGGTATGGTCTGGATTTTGGTGAAATCTAGGAGGGGTGGGTGTAACCAATGTGTTCTTACTGTTTGTTATATTTCACCAAAAATCCATCTTTGTTGATATTTTGTTAAATTTTTTTGTATAAATCTGTTTTTGTGTGTATTTATTTTGGGGAGCTTTTATTTTGTTAATTGTATTTTGGCGGTGTGACCCTCGACCTTTTAGTGATGTCACTTCCGGTGTTGTCGCGCTATTTTTTCCTCCATTGCTAATATCACTGATGATATTGTTATTATTATTACTACAGTTACTATTATTACTATTGTCACTGCTCATTGTCCCCCATTGTTGTTGTCGTCGTCGTCATCATCTTCTTCTTCATGTTCTTCCTCATCAGTAACTACTATTAGTGTAGTTGTTGCTACTGTTGTTGCTGTGCACCTGTCTGTCTGTCTGTCTGTCTGTCTGTCTGTCTGTCTGTCTGTCTCCTCTCTCTGTCTCTCTGTCTCTCTCTCTCACCCCAACTGGACAGCAAAAATGGACTATTCTATTTACACGTTACACATATACAAGACTATGTCTCCACTTCATTATAGCCTATTCCATATGTGTGGGAAATGATTCCCCTGCTTTCAAGGTACATGGGTATTTCTTTAAGACACACCGGCTTGCTACGCCATATATAGCTTACCTTTACAGTGTGTTACTGTGTTAAATCCACTTATCTTATAGTTTGGACATCTGTGTAGGGGCAGTGTCTTAGATTGCTGTTTCTATTGCTGTATTTTTCTTTCTGCACTATGGTGACCTAGCCCCAGTGAAGGTGCTTCTGTCTCTTCATCACTCCTGTCTATGCCAGCTATGATTCCCTATACCAGCTTGTTGGTCACGGTTTTCTACTCCAGCCAAGTTGAGCTGGCATCTCTCTAGTGCAAAAGAAAGAAAAAAAGAAAAACAAAAGAGTAAAAGAATGTAAACCAGAATTGCTTAGAGTGCCCCTGAAGTGTATTGCTTGTGAGTTGCCAGCTAACAGGCTCAGAAGTAGTCTGTGCTGAGCACAGTCAGAGTCGGCACAGTGGATGTCTCCCCATCTCGCCTGTGAAAAATCCCCCCCAAAAAACTGGTGTGCGGCTCACAGAGCAGCAACTGACATGCCAAATAAACTTTGCAAAGCTAGATGTCTTAGCACAAAGCTAGAATTCCAACACGGCTGGTGGCAAACAAGGAGGTGAGTGCTTTCTGGTCACTGTATGGACTTTCATAATGCCTGCATGTACCAGAGAGGCCCATTGTTGCCTTTTTGAGTGAAATGGCAGGCAGCATCTTGACAGAAGAGCTAGTCTGCCGTTTTAAAGAGGTTATTTGCAGGGGACCTTGGCTCTGGGTGTTAACTTTCCTGAAAATCAAATGCTGCCCATGAAAAAGAGGATGAATTGATTTGATCTTCAAAAATGAGACTTGGTATCTGTTGTATTGAAGTAAAGTATATTAGCAGTACTCATATTGGGGTGGCAGTGGCTCAGAGGTAGAGTTGGTCGTACACTTATCGGAAGGTTGTTGGTTTGAGCCCTTGCTCCTCCCCGCTGCATGTCACACTATGCTGTGTAATCAGTGTGTGAATGTGAATGAATGAGTTAGTTTCTGTTTGATGGGCTTTGCCATCACTGTGTTAATGTATGTGAAAGGGCGAATGTGGCATGTAGTGTAATTGCCTGGAGTGGTCGGAAGACAAGAAAGGCGCTATACATGTACAGTCCATTTACCATTATATCCTACATAAGTACGGCACACAGACATAATTATTACAAAATATCAAATTGTTTGTAGAATAAAGTACCTTGACTCTATACAGGATTATTTATTTAGAAAGAGCACAAAAAGCAAAAGATGGTCAGATTTAGTAACATTTGTAAACATACGACATCAAGGGTCTCACCCAGTGTGTCACAGACTACATCAGATTCTGTGAGGACAGCGTTATCCCCAGCAAAAGGATTCGCTTTTTACCAAACAACAAGCCCTAGATCAACAGGGACATCAAAGCCCTGTTAAACAGAAAGAAGAGGGCTTTCATGGCAGGAGATGAGGATGCCAAGAAAGACACTCAGAGGGAGCTGAGGAGGGAGTTGAGAAGGGCCAAAGACCGTTACAAGAACAGGATAGAGGGGAGGCTGCAACAGACTAGCACAAGAGAGGTGTGGGGGGGGGATGAGGACCATTACTGGCATGAAAAGGTCAGTGGGTTCAGTGGAGGGGACAAAGGGACGTGCCAACGAGCTAAACCTGTTCTTCAATAGGTTTGACTCACAAACCCCCTCCTCAGGTACCCCCATTCACACCTTGGCTACCCCGCCCTTCTCAGCTCACACCTTGGCTACCCCACCCTCTTCCATTTACACCCTGGCCACCCCACCCTCCTTCTCCACAGCCTGTCTCCCCCTTGACGACACTAACACCACCCCCCTCATCTGCCATCAACCCCCCTGCTCTCAGATCGTCAGACGTGGTGATGAGCAGCACTGGCACACCCCAAGGAACTCTACTATCACCGTTCCTGTTCACCCTCTACACCGCTGACTTCCGCTTCAACTCGGGACTGTGCCACCTACAGAAGTTCTCAGATAACTCCTCCATTGTCGGCTGTATCTCAGATGATAGGGAGGAGGAGACCTGATCAAGAACTTCATTGGATGGTGCGACAGAAACCACCTACAGCTCAACACAAGAAAAACCAAAGAGCTGTTGGTGGACTTCCAGTGCAGCAAGAGGCCCCCTTCCCAGTTGCGATTAGGGGGAAGAGGGTAGAGATGGGGGACACCTACAAGTTCCTGGGGGTGACACTTAACAATAAACTGGACTGAGGAAGGCCATCTCAGTGGTGGCGTTGGAGCTGGAGGCTGTAATGGAGAAGAGGATGAAAGGGAAGCTGAAAGCCATCATGGACAACCCCTCTCATCCTCTCTACACTGAGCTCAGGCAGCTCAGGAGCACTTTCAGCTACGGAATGTCCCAGCCCCGAGCCTCAAAGTGGTTTGGAGGCTGGTTTGTTCCATCTGCCATCAGAATCCACAACGCCACAGCACCCAGTACCTCCACCCCCGCAGACTAAGACTCTAACCTACAATGCACAAACTTTTTGCACTGTTTATATCTCATTTCTAATGTACAGATTAGTTTTAGTCAAGTTTAATTTTCTGCTCATATACTTGCACACCATTCCTACTTGAACAATGCATAGTGTATATACTTTAATTTATAGTCTTATATATTCTATTATATTTTGTAATAATTTATTTTGTGATATTTTTTGTAGTCTCTTTTGCACTACTTTGCCCCATTGTGTGTCAATCAGAATTTCTCCTAAGGGGGATCAATAAAGGAATATCTTATCTTATCTTCAAATGTAAGAAAGACATCAGTCTTAAATAGCATTTCTTACATTAGATTAAAACACCTTTTCTGGTATTGAGTGCTCAGTTCATTAATCAATATCAAGATCATGTTCATTTAGAAATAACACAATAACTTAAATTAAAAGTACAATACTGTTGGTAAACCCCCCCAATTGTCACTGTCAAGACTCACATTTGACTTAATGGTAAATGGACCTGTATTTGTATAGCGCCTTTCTAGTCTTCCGACCACTCCAAGCGCTTTCACACTACATGCCACACTTGCCCACATTCGCCCCTTTCACATTCACTCAGTGATGGCAAAGCCCATTGAACAGAAACTAATGCATTCATACACATTCACACAACAATGCACAGCATCGGGAGCAATTTGGGGTTCAGTATCTTGCTCAAGGATACTTCGACACGTGGCGGGAGGAGCCAGGGATTGAACCAACAACCTTCCGATTAGTGGACGACCCGCTCTGCCTCTGAGCCCCAGCCGTAATGTAACGCAGGGTAATTCAATTCAATTCAATTCAATTCAATTTTATTTGTATAGCGCCAATTCATAACAGAAGTTATCTCAGGACACTTTTCAAATAGAGCAGGTCTAGACCGAACTCTTTAAAACATTAATTACAGAGACCCAACAGTACCACCATGAGCAAGCACTTGGCGACAAGGGCAAGGAAAAACTGCCTGTTAAAAGGCAGAAACCTAGGACAGATCCTCCGGCTCTAGGTGGGTGGTCGTCTGTCTCGACCAGTTGGGGTGAGAGAGAGAGAGAGAGAGAGAGGCAGAGAGAGAGAGCGAGAGACAGACAGACAGACAGATGCACAGCAACAACAGTATTGGCAATGGCAATCTAGCAGGACCATGGCAGGAGGCTCCACCAGGATCGACAAGAACCTGCGACACGAGAAAGCACAAGAACTCCGGGGAAGAAGTGAAGTTAGTAACATGCATTAATGGGACATGAATGAGTGCAGAAAGTAGAAAAAAGCATAGCTAAATAGTGTGAGTGATGATGACGACGACAACGATGATGACAATGACGACAATAAAAATGGTGGGGAATGATGAATGATAATAATGATGAATAAAAGGAATTAATGGGAATCACGTTGTCATAAAAAAGAATAGCAGGCCCAATGCTGGATACGCTATTTCAGACCCACAAGTTTATGTCCTGGAAATATGACACCACACTGTCAAACACAGGCTACTGTTCATGCAGGAGCCGCAGGTGGAAATGTCTTTGTAAGAAAAGGACAAACATGGACAAAGACTGTCGGGTTTACAGAGGAAAATGGACCAGTTCCTTTTTCTTCACAGAGGTTAATGGAAAGCCAGTGTGCCAGTGTATGAAAGGTCCAGAAATTATGGAATTTAACAGGCTCACTTCCGATTTCTCAGAAACAGTTAAAACAGTTAAATCAGGGGTCTCAAATTGAAATTGGCTGTGAGCCACTGCTGGTGTACTTAGACCAGTGTACTATAAGAAATATTATATTCTGATATACTTAAAATAGTTTCATTACCAAAATTTTGTTTAATGAAATAATGCAAACAGCAGTTATATATTTTTATCATAATTTGATGTCATCTTTGGGTAACCCTTTAATTTACAGGCTGTTAATGGCATAGTAATAACATAGTAATGTAAAGAAATAAGCAAGAAATAACTACGTAATTTAAGTAAAATCAATATAATGACCAGCTGTAATGGTAGAATTACCAGTAATTAGTGTAGTAAATATTGGGTGATTAAAGAGTAAAATCAAAGCAGAATAAAGATATTTTGTTTGTAATTTTATGGTAACTAATGATTAAAATGAGGTATAGCCCACATACAGGGTAAGACTGGTGGGTCATATGGGCTAACATAATACTGGTAGTTAGAGTACTTAGCTTTATCTGTCAGAATGTCAATATTGTGCAGCATGCATGATACAACAAAGTACATTCAGTAAAATGACCATAACATTGCGTGTATAGCATTTCCTTGAAATTGTTTCATAATTTCCATATAACCAATGAAGATTTTGTAAATGCTAGGAAAATTCCCCTTCATTAAGCATTAATTTGGCACATTTACATCCCACTGAGATAAAGTAAAATGGTGTAAAACTTCAACATTAAGATACCATTTTACAACGTAGCACTAAAGCTAAAGCTATCATAACACAGAAATACACACGTTTAAGTTGAGACACACAAATAAAAAAACTGAGCTGATCAGAAACAGGCTTTTGTGATACCAATATTAACACTGTTATGTCGACAAAATAAAAAAGGAAATGTCAACGGTTGTCCTATCGGAGCTATATGGCCATGATACGGGTAGCTAGATAGCCAGCTAACTTTCCTAAGCTATCTCTAGCTTTTCTTAAGATAATGCAAAAAAAAAATACTAACATTATCAAGGTAAAAGCTAATTGTCAGCTGATGCTGCTATTTAAATGTTTCAATAACACACATTTCTTTATTTACTAATGTGAATATTGCTACTTAACTACTCACTCCACTCACTGGAGTTGGCCTCCTCATGACCCACCCTGCTCTAGCTCTAATTGCACTGGGGGAAAAATAGTGCTATTGAGCTAGCTAGTTGAATTTTGTTTAATTTCTCTGTAGAGTCGTGTTGTGTTGCAATCTGAGCCGGTAGCAAAATAGTAATAGAAATGTAGCAAAATTTCCCATGAGGATCTTATTGTAGCCTGTTTTGTGGCTGCAGGCTTCAGCACTCTCACTCAATACTGGACCAAATTCATAGTCACTTTGACACAAAAACATGGGAAAATAATCCAGTTTGAAAAATACAAAAATATCCTTAAAAGGACCAGTGTGTAGAATTCAGTGGCATCCAGTAATGAAGTTGCAGATTGCAACCATTTGAATAGACCTACTCATTTAGGAGAAATGATGCTAGCTATATCTAGAGCCAGTGTTTGGTTTTTCTGTTCTGACCTACTGTATAAACATTCAAAGAGGACCCACTCCCTCTGTAGATGTCTCATACTAAGGTAATGAAAACAGAACAATTCTTGTTTTTAGGTGGCTATACACTAATGAAAATATATGTATTAATATCACAAGGTGCCTATTTGAGGTGTCCTATAAAGCAATAAAAAAAAATATTTGTTTGATAAAATGTAAGGTTAAGGTTTTAGTGTCATTTCAAGAGTTTAAAACAAATTTGATTATTATTGGGATAATATCTGGAATCTAACTTATTTTGGCCAAGATAATTGTGACATGACATTTTCATATCGTCCCATGCCTATACATAGCAACCCCAGGCTCTGTATCTTAGTTCCCTACTGCAGAATAGCGTCAGTGTAGCCCTAATATGGGGATAGCACTCCCTCTTCTTGAACACATACACAGTATGTTTCAGCGCAGTGATATCAGTGGTTAAGCTGACAGAGGCCATGGAGCCATCTCCCATTGAGCACAGAGGGCTTTATAGAGTTACAACCTTTGTAACCACTGGTATTCAATGGAACCAGTTATGGTATTCCTGCCTCTAAAGTGACCGTACAAAATGGTGTGTTTATAATGAATCAATTTGGGCTGAAGAATAGAAGTTCACACACTGCACTCATTATCAGTGACTCTGACAGTCTGATGCTATCGTGTGTCAACACACCATCCCTAAAGCTCTCAGTGGAGCCAGAAGACGGAGCCATTTAAGCTTTTTAAACTTCGATGGTTGTTTTTGAGAATGGCTGTCTCTGTGTTTAGTTTTTTAAACTGAGCTGTTTCTCTGAGGAACAGATAGAAGAAAGGGATGACCTAACTCTGCTTACACTAATGAAATTAAACTAATGAAATGTCTTCATGGAGAGTAGAATTGAATTCAAGTAAAAGAAAGAAAGAAAAGAAAGAAAACATGGGGAGAATCCAGATGTTTACCTCAACAGCCACAGGGTTTCTTGAGGCCTGATGCTGAAAAACATCTGTCTGAGCCTTTACTGAAATGCACCTGTAAGCTTGAGTTGATCACAAAACTCAGAAAACATTATGTCATGATTATGACAAAGGCCATGGGGGTTGAAAAAAGGCTTAGCAGAGCCAATTAAGTGCAAGCTGGGAGCCCATGAGATGTTTGAATCAGCATATCGCAAGAGAAAGGTTTATATAACTCTGCTGACAGAGAGGAAGATAGTAAGCTTGTAGTGTCTGACAGCCACAAGGCCTGAGAGCATATTACAGATTACACACAAGTAAGTGGTTCTCTTCGAGTACAGCTGAATACAGTGGGCAATGAAGCTTGACATTCAGTGAAACACTAAAGTCACATGGTGGGCAGGTTTGATTTCAACATATTGTCCTCCCAAAACAAATTTTAGAAAGTCAGTATAAAGAACCCATGTCCATATGCATAAAAGTTTACTTTTTTTGCAACCAAAACATGAGGATCTGTATTTGTATTCATCCCAGTCACTTTAATATCCACTGCCACAGCCCCCAGTTTACTGTTATCGAGAAGTTTAAACACAAAAATCAATACAGTGTTTTTGAGAATTGATACAATATCACAAAACTAAATATCACAATACTGAACTGTATTGATATTATCTTATACTCCTAATCAAGACTGTGCTTCCTGCAGACCACCAGCACTCTCCCCCACCAACATGAGTCCTGCATGTCAATCAGGGTAGGCTAAACACTTCTCTGTGTAATGCCATACAGTTAAACAGCACCACAAACTACATCCTCTAAAATGACCATAAAGTTTAAGAAATGTCTCCCAAAATGTAGAATTATAATAGCAATAATATTGCAGGACTGTTGTATTAGACCACATCTAGTTTTACCTTATAAACTGGAATTTGTCATTAAAGGTTCCATCAGCAATGTCTGAATAGTATGGAACTGCTATTTTCTCTCCTCAGTAGCTATGAATAGTGTTCATAATAATACTCACTATTTGAATGCATAAGCCTTTATAAACAGGCACACATATGTTTGGTGCTAAGACAAATCAAATCTGTCTCATGTAGATTGGGTTTTGGGCATGTTATGCTACTGCTGCTACCTGAGGAGTTCAATTCAATTCAATTTTCAATTCAATTTTATTTGTATAGCGCCAATTCATAACAGAAGTTATCTCAGGACACTTTTCAAATAGAGCAGGTCTAGACCGAACTCCTTATAACATTATTTACGGGGACCCAACAGTACTACCATGAGCAAGCACTTGGCAACGGCGGCAAGGAAAAACTGCCTTTTAAGAGGCAGAAACCTTGGACAGACCCTTCGGCTCTAGGTGTCTGGTCGTCTGCCTCGACCAGTTGGGGTGAGAGAGAGAGAGAGAGAGAGAGAGAGAGAGAGAGAGAGAGAGAGAGAGAGAGAGAGAGAGAGAGAGAGAGAGAGACAGAGGTGCACAGCAACAACTACACTAATAGTAGTGACTGATGATGATGAACATGAAGAAGATGATGGCAATGACAACAACGATGGGGGACAATGAGCAGTGATAATAGTAATAATAGTAACTGTAGTAATAATAATAGTAATAATAATAAAAAAAATAATATCAGTGATATTAGCAATGGCAGTCAAGCAGGACCATGGCAGGAGGCTCCACCAGGATCCATAAGAACCTGCGAGACGAGAAAGCACAAGAACTCTGGGGAAGAAGTGAAGTTAGTAACATGCATTAATGGGACATGAATGAGTGCAAAAAGAGAGAGAGAGGAAAAGAGGAGCTCAGTGCATCATGGGAAATC